AGGTTTTGTAGGGATCCTGGGGTGTCAGTGGAGAGATTACTAATGCTATAAGTCATGCTGATGAATACCTGGTGGTGCATAATGTATACAGCTTATCTGCTTTCTAACAGATCAGTGTGTTATTGACTTAAAAAAGAAAATGGAAGCTACCTTAAGAGAAACAGGTTTAAATACCCTGTAGTCAGGGCCAGATTTGCCCTCTCTGCTGCCCCAAAGAGGGTTTCTCAACCCACAACCCACACCCCCACCATTCTCGTCACTGTTAGAATAGATAAATGAAAAACATATTTCCACACTTGCCGATACCAATTACCCATACTTTTTCTTAAAAGGACATTTTTAAAAAAAGCAATACAGGCTAATGATTTTAGGGCAGTCTCTTTATAATTATGAAGAACTGTAACTCATCCCATGATTATCCAGCAATGGAAAATGGCAACCAGCAATCATGGATTGCTGAGATTTATAGTCTTCTATAGCTATAGCCATTCTGTATTGCTGTTTAATCATTAATTATACAACTATGGAGAATGGCAACCGGCTATAGAGGACTACAGATCCCATCAATCCATGAATACACAGCAATTATATAGGTGTGCGAGCAGATCGCACCAGAGCTGCATTTGGGTTTCACCAGGGCTGCATGCAGATCTCACCAGGACTGCATTTGGATCGCACCAGGGATGCCTTCAAGTCTCTCCAGGGATGCATTTGGGTCTCAGCAGGGATGCGTGCAGATCTCAGCAGGGATGCGTGCAGATCTCAGCAGGAATACGTGCTGGTCTCAGCAGGGATGTATGCTGGTCTCAGCAGGGATGCATGCCGGTCTCAGTAGGGATGTGTGCTGGTCTCAGCAAGGATGTGTTTGGGTCTCAGCAGGGATGGGTGTTGGTCTCAGCAGAGATGGGTGTTGGTCTCAGCAGGGATGGGTGCTGGTCTTGGCAGGGATGTGTGCTGGTCTCAGCAGGGATGCAATCAGGTCTCACCAGAGCTGGATTTAGGTATCGGCAGGGCTGTGTGCAGGTCTCACCAGGGATGCGTCCAGGTCTCATCAGGGCTGTGTGTGGGTCTCTCCAGGGCTTTGTGGGTGGGTGCCAGGCTCTCCGGGGCTCTGCATGCAGCTGCTGGGCTCTCTAGGGCTGAATGGGTGGGATTCGGGCTTCTGCCCGGCCCCAGGGCTGTGCTGGTGGGTGTGGGGCTGTCCTGTGCTGTGGCGGAGCGGGGAAGGAGGAGGAGGCAGTCAGATCAGCACTATTAAAGGCAGCTGCCTGAGGTCCCCAGCAAGCTCAGGACCTCAGGCAGCCGAACTTTCTAAAAAATTTAAAGTGCCAGTATCAGCTGTGGCGCCCCTCTACTCCCTGCCGCCCTGAGGCCATAGCCTCGGTGGCCTTGTGGGGAAATTGGCCCTGCCTGTAGTTAAAAAGGATGCTCTGTAGTAAAAAGCAAAAAGATAAATCTAGCCACGTTGTAGGCAATGTTTGTGTTCAGAGGATTACCTGATTACATGCTGATCCTCTAGCTGCAATGGCTTGAGTCTCTGACCCAAAAGAAGTGAAGCCAAAGTAAAATCACAACTCCTAATTTGCATACTTGTTCCAGGGTACTGTCTCAGAACATCCACAGCTGAAGGATCAGCATTACAACCAGACGACTGTTATTTTCAGAATGATATCATCAGCAAAGCTCTGTAGTGACAGGCTCCCTTTAGAACTTCCCTTATCACTACCTGAGACAAACACCAAGCGGAACCATAAGAAGTTGTACTGGCAGAGTCCTTCATAATATTCTTATAGCACTATCATAGATGTATTAAATAAATATGTGTTGCTCTTTCTCATTTATTAGATTAATAATGTAATGTAATATTTCCCCTTAATGTACGTATTGCTCAACAGTGTTGTTTTTGCCAAATTCAAAGAGCCCTTTGCTCTTATTAAAGAAGAAGCTGTATGAGTGGGCTGGTGTTAATAGTTTTGAAAAAGAACACTGATGCTTTCCCAGAGGCTGGAGGATGGAGCTATCCCTCTGACGATGCAGTGGGCTGATCCTTGGAGTCCTCTTCATCTCCTCCATGCTCCTCAATAACCACATTTCAATGTGCAATGAGTATCAGAGTGGGGCTGTGCAGGCTCACATCTGGTTGCTGTCCGACCAAATCCACCAGTCAGGTTTAACTTAGGAAAACTTTTCCTCGCCATTCACGAAGGAATAAACAGCAGCCGAGGAAAATGGGCACTGGGGATTATATCTGTGTTACAATGAGTGGAGGAACACCCTGGGGCTTCAGGTTGCAAGGTGGAAAAGAGTACCATGAAATGCTGCATGTGTCCAAGGTAAGAAGACTTATTTCTTTATGGGTTTTGTGTTTGTCAGTTGAAGAACACATAGTGCATATTATCACCAGATCTGTCTTTTTTTTCAGTTTAGGCAGAGTATTGTATATGTTAAGCAAAACTCTAATCAAGAGAGCATGTTCCACGATCAGAGAACTTCCAAACTTATCTCAGATTCAGATCAGAGATTGTGTGTATGTTAACTGCAATGAACTCTTTGATCATCTCCGAGCGCTGGGAATTCTTCATGTCAAATTGTTAGAAAATAATTACTGATTCCTTATACGCTTCATGTTTGCTAATGGAACACAGATAGTTATAGTTAGTCAGGTTGAAAATAAGACACAAGTCCATTGAGTGCGACCAGCAGAGAGAAATAAAAAGATGAATAAATAGAAAACAGAGGAAGGCAAATTAATGTCTAACAGCTTTATGCACAAAGATACAATGCATTATGAAGCTTCCAAATAGGTTGCAGCTATAGACACAGCCCAGGGGTACCATAAGAACTAACAAATGTGGTAATGTTTACATTGAGCCCATGCTTAATGTCATTTTAATGGCATGCAAGCTTAACTTCAAAACATGATTCGCATGACACCACACGACAAGCACTGGGTAATGCATCAAGCCTAAAGCAAATCATTTCAGTAACTTGTGTTATGAACATATACAGGCAGTCAAGTTACATAAACTTATGCAAACTTTAAGTTCATTTACATGAAACAGAAATTGCAAGGGATGCTTTAAATTTTTTTTACCCTTAACAGAAAGGTGATTTACACCTCTAAGCTCACCGCACAGGTTACAATCTGATTGTACAATCTCCTGACAACTATGTAGTTCAAGGGTCTGCATGTCTGGATACAAACTGATTATATAGGTTAGGTAAATATTACACTACTCTAGATCTAAAATTGATTGTGCAGATATTGTATGGTCGGATAGTAATGTGTATGGTGAGCCTTTAGTTGACTGATTTGAAGTCTCACGTATACATACATGGGAAGGAATTCTTCATGGTTTGCTATGGCTGGAGGTGTTGAAAATGTGTGTCTTTTGCCTAAATATTTTGGTGCTAGAAAAAGTCCTTCCTTCTAATCTCACAAATTTGGGAGAAATGTTTTGTATGAGATTTACTAAACGGAAGAATTCAAGTATTTGCCTTGTATACATCAAAATACAAACATTTACCATGTTTAGCATAATGAAGAGCAAACTTTTTCTGTGCCGCTTATATTCTAAATAGATCAATTCTGCCACCTAGTGGAATGCTGGTGTACTGATATCTGGACATGGTATTTGGAAAGTTAGAGGAAACATTGCTTATTTCTTCATAAAATGAAATGAAGTTAAGTCATATAAAATAATTGCCTGTTGCATTGCCAATGCTAAAAATGTCTAGATTGTAGCAGACGTAATATAACTGGCAGGATTGTTTCAGAAATGTACTAGTTATAATGGCACAGCAGGCAATAGAGTCTACAGGCTATATTTATTAAAGAAATGTATAATGTATCCATTCCTGGAAGTACTCTCACCTGTTATAATGTGTAATTTTACCACAAATATCAGGAGTTTGTAATATTGGCAGAAAAAGACACCAGGGGTTCTGACATTTCCTGGGGCTCTCCTGTGCTCTACCATACTGACATCTGAGCAAGCACAGAGGTAAAATACATATATTGTATGTGAGCTGTTTTACTGGTCCATCCAGTCCTGAGATTTACACAGCGCTGCCACACTGTACAGCCTTGTCTGACAGGGCAGGAGGCCTGTAGTTCAGTAGCACTTATAGGTGTTATCCATGCCCAAGCCTGTAACTGGACAGTGAAAGAGGAATCAGCAGACTGATTAACTCATCTCCTTGTCACTCTATCATTGTTTTAATGTATTCATTTTTATCTCTCTGTTGGTTGAACTCAATAGACTTGTGTCTTTTTTTCAACCTGACTATGTAACTCTTCCTATCAGCATGTCACTTGTTATCACATGAGCCCTGCAGCAAAACTGGTTGGCTTTGTTCTGCCTTCCTCAGTCTGAGCTCTGCTGTGGAAGGACTGCAAGAGGTTGATGCCAAGTCAAATCCAGGTAATAACACTACTTGCATTAAATATATACAGTGTGTGTGTGTGTCTGTGTCTGTGTGTATACACCATATTGCCAAAAGTATTTGGACCCCTGCTTTTACACACACATGAACTTTAATGGCATCCCAGTCTTAGTCCGTAGGGTTCAATATTGAGTTGGCCCACCCTTTGCAGCTATAACGGCTTCAACTCTTCTGGGAAGGCGTCCACAAGGTTTGGGAATGTTTGACCATTATTCCAGAAGCGGATTTGTGAGGTCAGGTACTGATGTTGGACGAGAAGGCCTGGCTCGCAGTCTCCGCTCTAATTCATCCCAAAGATGTTCTAATGGGTTGAGGTCAGGACTCTGTGCAGGCCGATCAAGTTCCTCCACCCCAAACCCGCTCATTCCAAAACTGTTCCCACAAAGTTGGGACCATGAAATTCTCCAAAATGTCTTGGTATGCTGATGCCTTAAGAGTTCCCTTCACTGTACCTAAGCGGCCAAGCCCAATCGCTGAAAAACAACCCCACACCACAATCCCCCCTCCACCAAACTTTACACTTGGCACAATGCAGTCAGGCAAGTACCGTTCTCCTGGCAACTGCCAAACCCAGAAACGTCCATCGGATTGCCAGACCGAGAAGTGTGATTCATCACTCCAGAGAACATGCTTCCACTTCTCTAGAGTCCAGTGGCGGTGTGCTTTACACCACATCCGATGCTTTGCATTGCACTTAGTGATGTAAGGCTTGGATGCAGCTGCTCGGCCATGGAAACCCATTCCATGAAGCTCTCTACGCACTGTTGTTGTGCCAATCTGAAGGCCACACGAAGTTTGGAGGTCTGTAGCTATTGACTCTGCAGACAGTTGGCTGCACTTCAGCCTGCGCTGACCACGCTCTGTCATTTTACATGGCCTACCACTTCGTGACTGAGTTGCTGTTGTTCCCAGTTGCTCCCACTTTGTTATAATACCACTAACAGTTTACCGTGGAATATAGTAGCATGGAAATTTCTCGGATGGACTTATTGCACAGGTAGCAACTTATTACGGTATCACGCTTGAATTCATTTGAGCTCCCATTCTTTCACAAATATTTGTAGAAGCGGCTGCATGCCTAGGTGCTTGATTTTATATACCTGTGGCCATGGAGGTGATTGGAACATCTGAATCAAATGATTTAGAGGGGTGTCCCAATACTTTTGGCAATATGGTGTGTATATTGTATACTGTGTGGTTGTGTGTGTGGGTGTATATATGTATATATTAGGGCTGCGGAAATTAACGATTAATCCCACGATTAATCGTTAATTTTTTTGATCGATCAAAGTTCTTTGGCTCTGCACTACCATTAAAGAAGCCAGGCGGCATGTAATAACTCACTACCTGGCTTCCTGATTAGCATGGAAGCCGTCTCTATGCTCCCTCGTCACCAAGTGAGGAGGAAGCATGGAGCCGGTTTTCTGGCCAATCAGGAAGCCGAGCGCTGTGTAATAACTTGTTGCCCAAGTCACGAGGGAGCATGGAGCTGGCTGCCTGGCCAATCAGGAAGTTGGGCAGCATGTAAGCTCAGGTATAGGGCTAGGCATCGGAGCATTTGGGCGAGTATGAGTATACGACCAAATACTTGGCATTGGCACCGATACCTATACTAGTATCAGTGCATCTCTAATTTTAGCTAAATAAACAAATAATAAAATAAAATGGCGGCTGTGTTGGGGTCATGAAATTGTAAGCTACACATCCATTGGAGTAAGAACTCACATCTGTGTCTCATGGACTCTGTGCAGTATGGTGGTATGTGATAAGATGGCCACACATCTTTCAGTCTATACAGCCTTAGATATGCCAACCACTATGATGTATGATAATCTACCCAAAAAATCCACTTTATATCTAGTCAAGTAGGCCCTTGCAGTAGTTGTTGGTAAACCTAAAACGGATTGTACAATTAAATTGTGATATGTGTGGCCCAGTTTAGAACAATATAATAGCAAATGGATATAAATTAATTTTAATTCACATTTCTAAATTGCTAAACAGAGGACACAACAGGAAACCACTACGCTCAACATAAACCTTTAGATACGGTATTCTATAATGACCTTAAAGAAGAACTCCAGGCAATCTATAAATTAGCCCCTTTAGTGGGGCTACCACTGCACTGCAAGGGTTAACAACTTATTTAGGTCTAGGGATTAAAATAAAGAAATATAATAATATACTCATCTGATCCTCAGTGCCGCTTTGCTGCTAGACTGGTCCCCACAGTCTCTTTTCTCCCGGGCTCCAGCGGCCTAAGGACCCATGACGTCATCATTCCATTGCACTCCCACTAGACGTGAGATGAACAGTCCCTGCCGCAGGATCGAGGATCAGGTGGGTAGATTTTTTAAAATTTTAGTCCCTAAACCCAAACGAGCAGTTAACCCTTGCAGTGTGGGTTTTCTTTTTAAAGTTTTGGATAGAGAAAGGGAGGGTTGTAACCCCTACCAGCTTATTTGCAATCTGTGTTCCATTGGGGAGATTTACCTTTACTTCCTATCCAATAGTCACAATATGAATTGAGAGGAATTCCTGTCAAAGTAAAGGAAATCTTTGTTGGTCAGCAAGGTCACCAAAACTAGTGTCCCCATTAGAAGAACCCATCTATTCGTGTTCTGATGACAACCCAAAATTTGTGATTTTCTTTAACTTTCACCAGGACAAATATAGAGAGCGAAGAATGATGTGACTTTTTTGGGCCAGGGATCTGCCATTTAGCAGTGGGGTTTAGCTGTAGGGAATCTGTCATTTAGCATCTGTAGCATTGCCACTGCTAAATGACAGGTCCCAACCCATTTGTCATTTTTAGTGGCACTACCACTTATCTAAGTAAGATCCCTGCAGGCTTGCTTGTAAACAATTTTTTAGATTGTAAGCCCTC